TATCACTATGCATCTTACATATGATTAGGTATCACAATGTATCTTTTGTTTAACATAGTCAATATTTTTAAGTATCACAGTGGTATCACCGGAGGACGGTGGCCGGAGAGAGAAGAGTTTTAAAATACCAAAAATATCCTTGCATTAAGATTTTAATTTAAAATTACCAAATTTATAAATTTCCTAATTTATCTATTGATTTGTGGTTAATATTGGTTCTCACAATTACCACAAACAACTCAATTCTCCCTTGAATAGGCCCATATATATATATATATATATGAATTCAAAACATATTATACAGTGCAATTTGGACAGCCTAACTCCAAAATATATAGTATATATATAAATAAATAACTATAAAAGTATAAATCGTAAATATTAAAAATATTTTTCACAGTATATATAATATATAATAATATAATTAAGTCAAAAACTATTTAATATTTGCCTCATTTCGAAGGTATTGACGAGACGATTATAATGGTGTAACTTGTTAAAATAAAAATGTATTTTTTAAACATGTTTTAATTGATATACGATTATGTATGTTAATTTGATAAATGTTTAAAATGAAACATTTAAAAGTAAATGACGTAAAGTAAATTAATTAATTAATTATAGGGGTATAAAATATAAATTTAAAATTACAATTTTAAAAAAATCGGCTGTGAGAAGGTGAATGTATGTGAGGAAAGGATGGGGTGAAAAAGTGAAAAAGTAAGTATAAAGAGTATTTTGGTCATTTAGAATTTTAAGACTTTTACTAAATTTGCTTGATAAGATAGTATAGATACATTTCTTTTCCTTTTTATTAATTAATTTTTTATATGAAAAAATCATTAAATATATTTTTTTAAATGTTAAATTTTTTTAGATTATCACAAAAAATGAAAATCACTAATAATAACTGAAAATATGTTTTTATTTTTATTTTTAGTTAAATCATCAAAATGATTTGTCATTAACATTATCTCATTAAAGTCACACAAACAAAAAAAATTAAGGTATTAACCGGTTTAAAAGATAACAAGTTATCTATTACTATTATGGGTATATTTTTTAAAGTATGAAATCTTAATAAAAAATAATTTAAAAGTATATTATCGTAATAAAAAAAAAATAAAAAATAAAAAACTATAATAAATTTTTTTACGAAAGTAACTTGTTATTTCATATATTTAATCCTTTATTTTATTCTCAATCGCATCTAAATTCAACACATAAATCGTGTAATAATTCATGTGAAAAGTAATGGAGATTTGCAAGTTTTTACCTTCAAAAGTTGAAAAAAGATTGAACGTTATGGGTTTGAAACCTTGTTGGGTTAAGATGTGAATTGGGGAAGAAAGAATCATATAATCCGTGAAAACAATGAAGGGACGCAACGCAGGGCTCTTTGATTCCTTCCGATTCGGACAACAAAACAGATCAAACCCAAAATTGACTTTGAATTGAAAGAAGAATTACATTCACCAATCAGGACCAACAACATCACTGCTGGATTATTGTTATTGGTATGCCTTAATTCATCGAGATTCGTCACAAATATAAGTCAACAGCAACAACAATCATCAGGTTTAATGTCTTCATCCCGCCGGAGATATCACCGCCGGCGTTTTTAGATTCTGCAACGGTCGGTCAGTGTTCTTCTTTCAAATCTCCTTCCGTGTTTCTTCTTTCCACAACGACATGAACTCTTCATCATCGAATTCGAATCATGCGTTTCGGAATTCGAACGAAACAAATACCATTTTAGGGTTTAATTCGTCGCCTAGAGCGGCTTCTAGGAATCCGGGGGGAACCGCTGCGGCTGGTTCGGGTTCAAATCTTTCACGGCCACGGCTTTTGAAGATGAGAAGGCAAGCTTCTCATAACCCTAGGTCTAATACTACCCCCGGCAGCCGCCGTGCGGAAGAGGCTGACGCCCCTCTAGGGTTTAACCCATTTCGGACTGAATCTGAATCGGTGTTTGGCAATTCGAGCTCCGCGAATGTTCCAAAGAAGTCGTTCTCATTTGGAGCAGGTAGTAGAAATAATCCCAACTGGAATTTGGGTTCCCAAGGGGGAGTTTCTAGTGCTGTTCTTGATGACATGAGGAAATCAAAAACTGATGGTGATAATAGTTTCAATGCCACTGGGGGCAATGCTGCATTTAACTTTAAGGTGTTTGAAAGTGAGAATAAGAAGAATTTTGATGAATCTATGGTTGATCAACTGCCAAAAGAAATTAACAAATTGAACATTGGAGGTTCGAGTAATCTAGGAAGTTCGAAGAACCTTCATGATGTGAATCCGATGAAGAGCCGGTTTACCAATTCGTTTCATAACAATGTGGAGGCAGAACTACAACATGAGATGCATAAAATGAATCTGGGAAACCCGGGAAATGTTGAGTGGGGTAACGATAATTTGAAAAGCTTTGTATTTGGAAAGAACAGTAAGATGGGCGAACATTTGCCACGGAGATCAGAGCCTATAACTCCTGGCAAGCAGCAAGATGAAGAAAAGGTTAAGGCTGATCTAATATCGGATAAGATGGGGGAGCTGAAAGTAAGTGGTGGGGGAGATGATAATTCGAAAAGCTTTGTATTTGGAAAGAACAGTGCGACTGGTGGTGGTTTTCTGGGGCGATCAGAGCCTGCAAGTCTTGGTAAGCAGCGTAATGAAGAAGATGTCAAGGCTGATTTAATATCGGACAGGATGCGAGAGTTGAAAGTAGGTGGAGCTGGAGAAACATCTGTTTTTTCTACGGTTTTTAATGATAAGATGCAGAGTGGCACATTTATGGGAAAGAATTTTAGTTTTGATCATAGGAATGTTGAACCAAAAGTATATGAAACCCCATCATCTACCCATTTCGGACCATTTGGGAATTCTCCGCATACAAGTAGATCCGAAAGAAATGCTGAATATACTTTTGGTAGCAAAATGGATAATTTGGGGACTCCAAGTTTAGAATTGAAAACACCAAAGGGAGACTTGTTTTCTGGTGTGAAAAGCATACCTGAAGCAAAGAAGGAATCTTTTAAAGACTCGAGGCCAAAGAAAAAGAAAGGAAAGCTGAGAAAGCCCGTTTTTGGTCAACTGCGGCCTAAGCAAGACTTTGTGTTTAATCAAAGAAGTTCGCTTGAAATTCCCGAGAGTTTTGAAGCATGCTCACCAATGGATGTTTCTCCATATCACGAACCACAGGCTGATAATTATTCTAGAGGAACTTCTGTGACGTCAGATGATACTTCACTAATGAATGACCACAACAGTATGTCAAGTGAATCACATGTGAATAACTCAAATGCCACAACAGATGAAGACCTGCTTGTTGCCACACAACGGTTGGATGTTAACGACGTTGATGTCAAATGCGCTATAGTAAAAGAGGAAGTTTCCGGGGCCGAAAGCTTTAGGTCTGCAACTGAAAACATGGAATATAGTAGTGATAGTTTTGCTACAGCCGATTCTGAAATGAGTTCCACCGCTACCTCTGGCAGGCAAGAAAAAGAGGGCACCCGGCTATTTAAATTTGGTTCAAAATTGGAAAATATAAGCAAAGAAAACTTCACTTTTGCTGCATCTTCGTCCAGTCAAGTTCTACTATCACCAGACATACGTCAACATAAAAAGAAACATCGGCTGAAAACTGGTCAAGATTCTTACAGTTCAACATCAGATGCAAAAAACACATATGCATCTTCTTCTGCTTCGGAGTTTTTCCCCATTTCTGGTAATTCTTCGATTTTGTCTCCTGGGAAGACCCAAAAAGCTGATGTATCTAAATTATCAAGTAAAAGTGAAGATAATTTTAAGCCGATAAATGAACAAGATTCAAAGCAAAATTTGCCGGAGGTATCGCCCTCCTTCCAAGATTCAAAGCATGGAACTTTCTCAACTGCATCAGCCAGCATTGCTGCAGAGGAAACGTGCGAGAAATGGCGGTTGAGGTGTGAGATTCTTTCTCATATGCAATAGAACTTCAATTGTTTTATTAATTAACATATCAATTGTTTGGTTCTAAGAGTGATATCAATTTATATCAGGGGAAACCAAGCTTACGCTAGTGGGGATCTAGCTAAAGCGGATGATTATTACACACAGGGGTTGAACTCTGTTTCTCAAACTGAGAAATCTAAAAGTTGTCTTAGGGCTCTGATGCTATGCTATAGCAACCGTGCAGCAACTAGGATCGCTCTTGGAAGGATGAGGGAAGCATTAAATGATTGTCTGATGGCTGCAGCAATAGATCCCAACTTTCTCAAGGTTCAAGTTCGTGCTGCACAGTAAGTGTCACTTCTTTTGCGTTTTTATAGGTTTGTATTATTTTTTTGCATAATTCCCTATCTTTATGTGTGAAAATGCATGTTAATTAACTAATTTACATCTTGGTTGCTAGAGTTTTGATAGCGAAGCTAAGACTTTCCTTTCTTTTTCATCATGGTTCACCATATCTATTACATGTGTGGTTCCTTTTTTTTTTTTATCATGTTCTTGCATATCAAATATGTGATGGCAATACTCTATATATAGGGTTAGGTTTAGGAGGAAACCACAAAAAAAATGAAAAACTGAGGAACACCTGGTAACCATTCATCTGGACGGTATGCACATGTACATACAAGTAATTGTAACATGCACACATGCATAAAAACCTAAAAAGGGCTTCAATTACTTGTATGCACATGTGCATACCGTCCAGATGAGCGATTACCAAAGTGTTCCTTAATTTTTCATTTTTTGGGGGTTTTCCCCTGAACCTCCCTCTCTCTATATATGTACATAGAGTCCATGCAAAGTGCTCCTTTCACATGAACAAGGCAAAGCAGGCCTTCTGCCCCCTAAGGAGTTGATAACACCTGATGGTTGATGAAGCACCACGCCCAAGTGAATTACTACTATGCTAACCCCTTGGGGTTGTGATATACCATTTGTTATATTTATATATTCATAAACTCAGTTGAAATTTTAAATAACATTCAAACTGTAACTCATTCGTAACCATTTTCGTTTTTCGCAACTTATCATTTGTGCCACCATCTGTCTCTTGCAAACGTGTCCAAACAAATGCAATCGTGCCTCTCTTAACTCACCCGTGATAGATGCAACTCCCAGCTCTGCTTGGAAGACCTCGTTTAGTATCCTGTCCAACATGGTCCAACCACAAGTCTATCTATCTAAGTATCCTCATTTCTAAAACTTCCCATTTTCGCTCGTGGACCTTGTCGCCCAACACTTTGACCCATACAACATTGCTGGTTTGATGGCCACCTTGTAGAATTTGCTCTTTGTGGGAACCTCTTGCAACGCAGAACCCTCGTAGCATATCGAGCGGGATAAGTGCCATAGTGTTTGCTATTAGTATAGAGTGGGTTATTCATGAGTATTTTATTGTTGCTGTGTGGAGCTATTGAAAGACAGTAGTATCATAGTATAGTCTACAGAGAGTGGGCTACTCACATCATTCATATCCATGGTCTTTGGACATTTGATTGCTCTTTTTGAGATGTGGCTAAGTGCACTTTTTGGAAACTTTTGCTCGTAAAAAACTTGATAGATCTGTTGTCTTAAGGTAAGAGACTATCTTATTATCTGCTATACATTAAAGCTTCACATTCTTTTTTATTATTAAACTTCAATACTTTTGCATTTTCCTGAATGGACATGGTTCTACCATATTCCGCAGTTCTACTCATGTTTTCAGAATTCCAGTGTAACCGATTCCATATACTACTTCTTTAGTTGCTAACCTTTGTTGGGTTTGGTGCCAAACTCTTTGACAAGCATATTTCATAGAACTTGAGAATCGTTCATCTTTTGATTTAGGTTGTTCTTTTACTTCTTAATTGAGTCTCCTATTATTTGTTCTTCAGTTATTTCTGGACGGGAAACTTTAATGTGATTCTGTGGCTTAACATCTACAGCATTTTCTTTTTGAAGTTTGTTTAAATCTTATTATATACCATCATACGGCATTCTTTTCATAAATGAACTTATTGCCAATATACTGCTTCACGGCAGACCTTCAGTTTGTTGATAATCTTAACACATAATAGCTTCCTGTTACTTGTTTATAATCTTTGTATATGTTCAGTTGTTCTCTAGCTATTGGAGAAGTTGAAAATGCAAGCCTTCAGTATATGAAGTGCTTGCAGTCAAGGAATGATGGTTTATAATCTTTGTATATGTTCAGTTGTTATCTTGCTATTGGAGAAGTTGAAAATGCAAGCCTTCAGTATATGAAGTGCTTGCAGTCAGGGAATGATGTCTGTGTGGACAGAAAATTGTTAGTTGAGGCCTCCGAGGGTCTAGAAAAGGCACAGGTATTTCACATTTTCTCTCTTATACGTATTTACCATCCATTATTATCGTTGTCAAGTTTATTCAGCTAAGTATGCAATTGTTAGTTTTCTCTCTTTGTTTTATAATGACGATTTAGTTGTAAAATTCCACTGAACTGAGAACCTGCTTCAAGGTTTTCTTCTGTTATTGAGGATGGGATTGTGTTTTAAAAGAAGGGTATATAGGTAAAAAGTTGGGGCTGGATGTAAACAAGAGCCCTCCTCAAGCTGACCAAATAAGCTCTTGATTTCCAGATTAAGCCACAATCAACAGCTATTTATGGCTGACCGAATAAGCTCTATGGGCTATACAGCCCATTAATCCACAACCAAAGAGCCCCTTAGTATTGATGGGAGACACGTCTTGATAATTTGACTGGTTTATTTATTGTAAGGCTCGTCCATAATTTTTCTGTGAATTTGGTGGTGGTCGAGGTGTTCATTTATTTTTCTTCTTTTTTTTTTCTTTCAGTTAAGGGTGTTTACTCGACTTTTAGTGTTGTGAATATAAGTACTTTTTCTATCTCTAAATATATGATACACTTCACATCTGAAATAAATTCCTCAAAATACATGATGTATTTTTGGTATTATCATCATATTTTAATGATGACTAGAGGTTGGATGTTGTAACGCGATCTTTGAAAATAACGGGTGTGTTCATGATAGTGTCAGACTTTAATGTAAACTAGCAATTTGGTTGTTATTTTTGTTTGTTTAGCATGATATGCAGCTTTTGATTTGTTTTCTTTCTGCTCAATTTCTCCACATCCCATCTTTTTTCACATATAACAATGAAGGAATCAAATCGGTACAATGGTAACCGAATTTTTGGTTTCTATGTTATCAGATAGTGGCAGAGTGCATGAAGCAATATACAGAACTTCCTCGAAGAACATCCGATGACTTAGAATGTGCATTGAGAGTTATTGATAAAGCTTTGCAGATAAGCAGTTATTCGGAGCAACTGCTTCAAATGAAAGCAGATATCTTACTGATGGTCTGTCTAATGTGTTTTACGCTTTAAATTTTTTACTCCTGCTGTCCTAGAAAATTGCAACCTTGGCTTGGCACATGGCTAAAGAGTTTGATTGTTGTTACTAAGGACAAATTAAGAAAACTTGTGGGCCAAAGACACAGTTACATATATCAAGTAGGGGGGCCGTTTGGTTTGCATGATTTTGATGGAATTGGAATGGTCAATTCCTTTGACCAAATTCCGTTCTGACGTTCGGTTTACCTATGGAATGGAATTGAATTCCATACATTCCATCAACCATGGATTTCATCATTCCATCATAGTGGGGAAGGAATTGAATTCCATTTCAACAAATTTTCTTAAGATGACAAAACTACCCCATCAAACCAATTTTCTTAATTGTTATATTTAAAATTTTAGAAAAAAATTAAGATTACAAATTCAAATAAAGGGTATTTGGTCATTTTCATCATTTCATTCCAATTCCTCTATAAACCAAACAAGACATATTCCAATTCATTTGACAGATTACATTCCCTTTCCTACAAGCCAAACACTTGGTCAAACCTGATTAACATTCCATTCCAATTCCTTCAAGATTTCCATTCCTTCAACCCAAATCGCCAACACGATTAGTTACAAACGCTTTTTGACAAGCCTTTGCTGCGAGAAATCAATGCTTTCTCAGCAGGAGGGTATAAAAGCAAGATGGGCAGTTGGTCAGATCTAGTATGGATCGTACATGGACGGTAAAACATTATCCCAACCAAACGCCCTGTAATGATTACTAATGGGCAGAAGGGTAAATTTGGATTGACAATCTACCAGAACGGAAATCCTTTTTTGGAGCAACTGAAAATCAAAGAGTTACTTTTTTTGAATAGTTAAAGGTAATCTGACTTTATAATTTCTGTAATTGTACTCGATAACTTAGGATCGAGTAATCTGTGTGGTTTTGCAGTTACGGAGGTATGAGCAGGCTATTCAAATGTGTGAGCAAACTCTGAGTTCTGCTGAGATGGACACACCCAGAAGCTCTAGCTCTTGGAGACCAAGCCTGATTGTTAAATCCTATTTTTATTTAGGAAGGCTAGAGGAAGCTCTTGAGTTTATTAAAAAGCAAGAAAGTTCTGGGCATATTACAGAAAGGTATCTCTTTGTTTGCGAAGATAAAGAGCTTTTGTTTAAATGTTCTGTCATATTGGTATCTGCAGCATTTGTTTTGGTTATAATGCACCAAGAAAATATGATGACATTTTGTGAACTATTTGATCTTTTTTCTCACTTTTATATTTTAGTGGACTAAAAACCAAACTAAACCAGAGGAACCCAATATATCTCACACAAAGGTAGGATAGGAGGAAGGGGGGAAGGATATACGGAGGCCCAAGGGGTAGAGAGACTGTTTTTATGATGACTCCCGGTTAGCAAAGTAGTGAAAAAGTAGCACATAAATAAAAATGGTAGCAGAGACATATGAGTGGGACATAAGATAAAACAAACAAGGAAGAGGGGTCAAGGAGTAACATGTCATCATTTGGATTTCTTCATTTATTAATATTAAATTATTGATTAAGATTACATATTGTGAAATTAAATATTTGCATGACCATTTCAGTAATGGAAACCCCAATTTGATAGATTTGCATGAGCAGTGAGGCTAGACATGGTGGCCTTGGACCTGACTCCGACATGATTGCATATAGGACTTCTTGGAGATGGTGGATTAGGGTAGCGGATTTTGGGTAGAGTCGGTTAAAAGGGTAGCTTCTAGGATAAGTAGCCTAGAGGCTCTTTGACCTATAGATACGAGTGTCCCTAGGGGGGTGTCCTTTTGTGCACTCTTCTATTCGTACGCCTTTTTCTAATGTTGCTTCATTGCAAACTTTTCTAACTTCTCCTTGCTTTCTCTTTGTTCGGATAACTATTTTTGGTCCCTTCCTAAACCTTTTAAAAGATGTTTTATAAGCCCGGGTCTTCATGGAAACAACTTTTCAACCCCTAGGGGTAGAAGACCTTTCTTTTCTCAATTCAAGCCTCTCCAGGCTTGTACTTTCTACATAAGGTCAGATAAAGAATTTGCTAACTTGTAAGAAATTGGTGAACTTGCAAAACAGATGTTGAGAATGGCACTAATGTTACTTTTGAATGGCTTATGTGTTAATTGAGTTAGAATTGATTTTAATGGTTGCAAATACTGAGTATCATCCAAGGTGAACTGTGTCAAATAAGTTATGTAACAAATAAAAAGATGTTTGGCTTTAAATTGCATAATTACTTTGTTAGTATGAGATTTTTGTTTTCTTGATGATGAGATCATTATACAACAATTCTACGTGATGAAAGGAATGTCTCTTGTGAAATCTTATATTTCAATGGACTAAAAGCCGAGAATATGGAAGTTGACATTATCATGCTATTGATTTCCAGGTTAGGAAGCATGAGTTTGGAGTCGTTGATACCTTTAGCTGAAACAGTACGTGAGCTTTTATCTCGCAAGGTACGGGAAACGAGAAGTATTTCTTTCCACAGTATTTGGATAGTTAAGCCCATGAGAAATTAACAAATTTCTAAAAGAGGTAAATTTGTATCCTGTGTGCTTAAGCTGGATGCTTTATATCATCTTTTCAGTTTTCAAGATAGTACAAAAACTCGTTGTCCCAAGTTTTACTCGACATTAGACTGGGACAAGACTAGAATTGAGTGGGACAAGAATGCGTTTGTTTGTCCCACCAAAACCGGTGGAACAAAAATAAGGGTGATGGGACAAGATTGGTAAATTATTTAACCGCCCATGTCAAATTAAAACCCTAAAACCTTTCACAATTCTTTGGTCTTGTCCGTGCACCGGAGGCACCTTGTAAGACCAAGTCGGATTTCAGTGTAAAGTCTGAAGATCAGAGGATTTGTTGATCTTGCTTAACTCTGATGCCCTCTATTGATAACCTTTTTATTTTTCTTGTTATTTACTGTGAGTACTTTTCTCTCATTGCTCTTTATGAACTTAGATAAACTTCATTTCTTGTTTTTTTGACATACAAAAATGATTTTTTTTTTCACAAGCCCCCTGGTCTTCACAGAAACAGCCTCTATACCCCTTGGGATAGAGGAAATATTTGCGTACATTTTATACTTCCCAGACTCTATTCCAAATGGGATTTACTGGGTTCGTTTTGGTTTGATCTATAGTCTTGAATATGATTTAGGAATTGGGGTCTCATGAAAATGTTGCAACCGTTTGAAACTTAAGCTCCTTTAAATTTTTTAAGCTCTCACTATGTTCTAAAATTATAAGATTTAAAAAGAATGCATGCAGCTACTTGAGATGAAATACATTTCGTGTTCTTAATTTCTTCTGAACTTTTAACAAATTTATGCGATTTTGAGTCCGTGAGATGGGTAGTTTACCCACCCACGTCAAATTGGAACTTATGTTTTAGAACAGAGTTGTTATGTGAATAATATCATCTAATCATCCTCTTGGCAGGCAGCAGGAAATGAAGCATATAAATCAGGAAAGTATGCAGAAGCCGTTGAACATTACACTGCCGCCTTATCGTGCAGCGTTGAATCTCGCCCTTTTGCGGCGATATGTTTTTGCAACCGTGCTGCAGCATACAGAGCTTTGGGTCAAATCGCAGATGCCATTGCCGATTGCAGTCTAGCTATAGCTCTTGATCCAACCTATCTTAAGGTTTGCTAAAATGCACCACTTTTTGCAGTGTAAATTATCATTCAAGTAGTGTATGCTCTCCTAGGTTTCATGGTTTTGATAAGACTGGCCTTCTCTCATTAACTCAAGTTTTGCATATCTTAGCATATATTCTATCCATTTAAAAGAATATGTTTTAACTTGGTAAATGGTTTAATAAAAAAGTTTGATAAACCCAACAAGGTTTTGCTCTGATTCTCTGAAAGTGGTCTCTGATTGTTAACTCTGTTTATTTTCCCCATTAGAGTTGGGGGCATTTCAGTCTTTTCATCGAAACCTTTAACTTTCTTTTTAAAAAATAACATGATATTTTATTTTATATTTTGTATCTTTTATTCTTATAAAATTTCTCTCTCAATCTAAAATTTATTATTTTTTAAAAGAAAATAGAAAATAAAGTTTTATGTTAGTTTTAAAGAGAAAAATAAAGATTTTGAGGAAAAGACTGAATTGTTCCTCACTCTAACGGAGAAAATAAACAGAGTTAACAATCAGAGACCACTTATAAAGCAAAATGAAAACTCTAAGGATGATTTCTAGAGTTATCAAAGTTTGGGTCCCCACTTCTAAACTTTTCACCAAGCCTCAAGGACCAAAATTGAAGTTTAGTTTATTTTAAATAAATAGTAATTTTTGGAAACATCGCATCTACTTTTTGTATTTTAATTTATTATAATTGCTATTTGGGAAACTAGACATTCAAAGGAACTAGCCGGTTATAAAACTAATCGTTTTAATTATTGGGTTTTCATTTGTTTATTTTCATTATTGAAATTCTTTTTATATAAATTAAATATTTTAGTAAAGACTTTATATTGAAAAATGAGAATTAAGATGAACCCATTTATGAAACTGTCGGAGTATATGATCGTGGAGCAAGTTGTATAGAATGTATAGATAGCTCATTTATGATCTAAATGGTTTCCGCAATATAAGTTCTTCTTTGTCGGGATTATTATTGACATCATAAAAACGATATACTTGAATGCAGGCACTTTCGAGACGAGCCAGCTATTATGAGATGATTAGAGACTACGGTCAAGCAGCTATAGATCTTCGGAGATTGGTGTCTCTTCTCACGTCACAAATAGAAGAAAAGGGTATTCTTTCTGGAGTATTGGATAAATCAAGTGGTATGAATGAGCTAAGGCAAACTCAGCTTCGGCTCTATAACATTGAAGAAGAATCCCGAAAAGAAATTCCCTTAAATATGTACCTCATATTGTAAGTTCTTTTGCAACAGTTAGATTCGGTCTGAAATCATGATTGAAAAGCCAGTTTCTGCATTCAGTGGTGACGTTGTTTCAAAACATTACAGGGGAGTTGAACCAAATGCTGCTGCATCGGAAGTCAAAAAGGCATATCGGAAAGCTGCACTGAAACATCATCCTGATAAGGTTGTATCCAACATCTGATTCCTTTTTTCTCGACTAATCCTGTGGGCCCCTGAAGATAATAACAGTTGGGAAAATCCCCAGTGGTCCTGAGGAGACTCGAACTGGCGACCTATGGGAAGTCCCAAGACCCGGTCTTTTTTTGTTGGTTGAGCGGACCCGATATCTGAACGTGATAGTTATAAAGGGTTCTTATGTACCGTTTCTTTTGTTGATGTAGGCTGCCCTATCGCTGAGTAGAAGTGATAACGGAGATGATGGATTATGGAAGGAAATAGCTGAAAATGTTTACAAAGATGCTGATAGGCTTTTCAAAATGATCGGAGAGGCGTATGCTGTGCTTTCAAACCCTTCCAAGGTGCTGAAAAAATGATTCATCTCTACTTTAGATGTACTTTTTCTTTATCCGTCGTTATTGGTACCAACTATTTCAAAGGGTTCAGGCACAGTTTTGTTAACTTTAAGACTTTGGTCAACGAGTTTGGTCCGTATGGAGTTGCTAGCACTTATAGGATTAGAGCCTGGGACACCTCGTGCCAAGCCTGCGGGCAACAAGGCAGATACGGGAGGTGGCCCCTCTCCCATATCTGCCTTGGATCTCATATCAGTCCCCATTTCCATTCCCCCTTTAACAACATCATATCTTCCATGATCCATACCCTTTTTAGATTTAGTAAAATTCCAACATAACTTTTACATCTAAAATACAGTTAGGGCTTGTTTGTTAGCAGCTTAATGAGCTTAAATGCTCAATGGGACTCACGGCTTATTTGGTCAGTTATACATGACTATTTGGTAGTGGCTGCTTCTAAGGGGGAGCTTTATGCAGAAAGCCAAGTTTTTTTTTCCGAACATGACTTCCCAAGTAAAAAACATGTTCTTTATCTATACAAGACTTGATGGAAAATCAACCAAACAGCACCTTAATATCATGTGCAAGTGAAATGAACGAAACCAAACGATCCCAATATATCCCACTTGGAGGTGGGGTCTAAGGTGGGATATGCAAATTTGTTTCCATCCCTAGTTTGCTACTCTAATTTTGAGTCTCCAAGAATTCTTATCAATATCCATCCTCAGTTGTTCATCCGACGTGCTTCTCGACCCGCAAAAAGATCATACATGCATACATATTTACATACATTTGTTCCGAGGGTGGAGGGTAAGAACCGCTCCATATACCCCCATATTTTGGAACCTATAAGCCCATATTTTTATACCCTATGTCTGCTCAATGTGGAGAGGGGGTGTGTGCCATGGCCCTGCAAAAACCGTCCCCATCGCCATCCCCTACTCTCTGGGTACATTTATGTTAATGTTTTCCGCTATTGGTTTTTGTAGAGGTCACGATATGATGTGGATGAAGAGATGAGGAACGAAGCTAACAGATTTACTAGAAGCAACTCGGGAAGATTCGCTACAGATGTCCAAACCCCAGTATTCGAGCGAAGTGGGAGCAGACGGTCTCAAGATTCTTGGAGACCATATGTGTATACCCAAGAAAAGACCACCTCATCCAATAGGTATTCTTCAAGGTACCCTTGATTAGGATGCAGTTTGTCGTCAAAATTTCTGAGTGCCGACAGTTGCACGGGAGCATAAAAACGTGCAATGACCAAGCAACTTAATATACATGTGGACCAAAAGTATGTTCGTTTTGAAGTCATACGAGCACCTCAGAAAGAATACAATCATAAAAGCAGTGTGTACAAGCGGTGATGTGATTGAGAATAGCGATTGACGACGTAAAACGGGTCGAACGATTTGCGCGTTTTACGGAGGTTGGATTTGTTGTATGAGTGATATGTGGAAGGTTTTTGTATACATGTTTTTCATTTGCAGGTTTCATTTTTTTGGGAGGCTTGATGTATAGTGATTGTTTTAGGAGGTTTTACTGAATCCAAACAAAAATGGAAAAGGGGATATATTCTTTGATTTTATTGTTATTAATATCAAGTTTAATATATAAAAAATCCCAATGAAAAATAAAATAAAATAAAATAAAATAATTTAAAATAGTATTTGAGTTACAAAATAGTTCTTTAATCATATGTGATACTGTAATTTATCGCATGTTATACTGAATCAGATATGTGGGCAATCATTGGCATGCAGGCCCAGTCGCCCATACATCATCAAATGTTCTCACGTATATTATCACATGTGATAAGAATGTAATGGTCTTATCTTTTATAAAATAGAAGATATTGTCGTTTGAACCTTCATATTTTTATATTATAATAAATGGTTATGTAACTTTTCTAATTTAATTGAATGTTTTATAAATTATGTTGATGTAATAATATGATTTATGAGGTCTTGTAAAAATAATAAAACATATAGGTATAATTTATAAAATTAATAAATACAAAACTACCTGGAGGTCTCAGGTTCAAATCCAATGAGGAATAAAAATTCTCTTGTGGCCACGGAAGTTCAAATGCGGTGACTTCGAGCTATCTGTAAAGCTGGTGGTCGTCATGAGATTAGTCGGCTCGCATAACGGGTTGGATATCCAGATTAATAATAATAATAATAAATACAGAGGTAAAGGAACAAGGTGATTTTGTTCAAACATAAGACAAATCACGAGTTCAATCCCAATCTCCCGTTAGTCTCTTAGCTGCTGAGCGAGCCAAAAATGCCTCATCATATTGGTGTCCTTGAAGACGGATTATGTATAAAACCAATTATGATTCTCGGTAATCAACTTTTATGCCTAAATATTAAAATTTCATGTATTTAAAATTAAAAAAGATGTGCTTATGATGTTTTATTTTAAATTATGCACTAAAATAAAGTAAAAAAAATGATGTTAATTAAGTTAACAACGATTCCAGTATTTTATTATACTGTTAAAAACCAAAATTCATATGACCAAATTCTGATTAAATCCGGTCTAATTTGTCTGCAAAATCATCGTAACCCGTCTATTTTAGTGCCTATAATTTCAAACGTCTTTTTCCCCGCAAGAATGTAGACAAATGAGTCCTTTCTTATGAATTGATATCCCTATGAAATATCCTGCCTAACATTAAATACAGACAAACACAATTTATTTCCAACCCAACAAACAAAAAACTTGGCCAAACTTTTGAAATTTCAAACTTCATATCACAAAATAAACAAACACTTGACGGTATAGATGGGCAAACCGGTTAACTGGTCGGTTCTCAGACCCGTTTCAACCAATTTTGAACTGGGCTTTCTGTAGCCGACACTGGTCTAAATTGGTTTCGAGGAAAACACAAAGATTGGTTGTAACTGGTCGGATCGGTCTTCCACTCTTCCTAACCAATATTTGTTATATATATAAGGTTTTATTTTAGCCTATTTCTTTAATAATGTTGTTATTGATAATAAGAGGCTATTAATTAGGGGTGTTCATGGTTTGGGTTGATCGAGTTGAAGACATTTGAATAACTCAACCTAATGCTTGTTGTTTGAAAAATCTTAACTCAAACCAAAGTGCAACCCAACCCAAACCAAACTGTATGGGTTGGTCGGGTTGATACTTTGGTACATTAAAATATTCTTCTAACCTTGAATATGTTATTTCTCTACTCATAATTTATTTTTCATCATCAATCATTTGATATAACTTATTCATAGTTCTTACGTATATGACATCTAGTTAATTTTCTCAATTTACATATAAATGTTCACAATTACTGAACATATATACGAATGAGTTATATAAAGATGTGAAATAGATTGAAAATATATGTATATGAAGAGCGTACATATGATAGTGTAATTGTCTAGTGTATATATGAATAGAAATTCAACAATCATATTAAATCCAATAAATAAAAAAGGATATCGGGTTCATCGAGTTGGGTTGTGTTCAAATAATAATAACTCAATAGTCTAATACCTACAGTTTAAAAATTTTACAATTCGATTAGAAATCGGGTTGCTTCGGGTTAGGTTTTTGGGTTGGGTTGGGTTGGGTTGACTTGATCAGGTTGGTCGGACTTTTGAGCACCCTTGCTATTAACTATAACCAAACCTTAATCTTCTAAAACATTAACTTATTAAATACTTGGAGTGTTTAAAACTCCTACAAAATGTTGATTAATCCTGCTAACATTGAACTTGAGAAAATGAAATAATTAAATAATTGAAAAACCTTAAAAGACGTTCCCTTTAACTAGTTGTGTAACAGGTTCTCTAGCAAAATGCTTAACATGTCCAAACTGACTTTAACTGATCCTTATGTAACCAGCTCTCAGCCCTGAACTAGTATGAGTCCTCTTACTGGACCTATTTGTCATCTGTAACAAAAGAACCTGACTTAATTTTTTCAGGTTTTGTTTAACTAATCTTTTAATTTTTATTTTATTTTGGATATCTGTTTTTGAGCTATAAAATAAAACTGACATTATCTTTGGATTGAAAAATGGGTTTGAAAATTAAGACCATGAAAAATGGTAGTAAATACATTGAACCCTTGACATAAAAAGATTTTTCAATAGAAAATTGAAGTTGGAGAAATAACTGATCCATTATTGAAATTGATTGCATTACATGTTTGAAGGGGACTCCCACTCTACACGAAATAATAAGTGTTTTAGATAAATTCAACCCAAAAAAAAAAAACACACATATATATATATATATATATATATATAGAGAGAGAGAGATAGGGATCTAATCAAATAAGAACTAAATAGTAAGTGCTAACTATGAGTTCCAATATGAATCATTCATTTTAAATAATTAATGTTATTTACTAAAATAAAATAAATGGTAAATTAGTAAATTGTGTTGATTATTCAATTTACTTTAATTGGTTTAATATTCCAATTTACTATAATTTGTTTAATTATTTTAATATATGTATATATATACACACACATGGACGCACAGAGACCAAATCTGGTGGCCTTCTCCGGCACCCACCACCACTCCGGTGACCTCCTCTTGTCATCTTGTCTGGTCAAAACGCCGTATTCGATGATCGACCACTAAACACCCACATGCGACAGTGGTACCACAGTTGGTATCACAGTGGTCTCAAAGTTTACTTGGTGTGTTTTGGGTATCACATTGTGTATCTTGGTGTATTTTGGGTATCACATGGTGTTCGTCGGAGGTCGGAGGTAGGAGAGGGGGGGGGGGGAAGATAGAAAATTTAAAATACCTAAAATGCCATTTATTTATAACTTTAAGTCAAATTATCAAAAATATTAGTTTTCTAATTTATCCATTGATTTGTGGTTGAGATTGGATCTCACAGTTATCACAAACTAATCAGTTCTCTCTTGAATGAACCCCTATATATATGTATATGTATATATATATATATATATATATATATATATATATATGGTATATTTCAAATGCAATCATGTCTATTTGTACAACCAATGCAACCCAATTAATTGAAATATTTATGAAAATAATGAAAGTTCATTTATTATGATTTGAATATTTATGAAAGATGAATATGGTTCATTAATTATGATCAATACTTTATATTATGAAACAATGAAAACTTCTATGAAATCACATATTCATCAAATTAAATGGACGGTTAAGATTGAGTTGTATTGGTTGTATAAATGTAAAAGGTTGTATAATAACCAACCTCTTTCTCTCTCTCTCTCTCTCTCTCTCTATATATATATATATATATGAATTAAATAATATTTATTAATCACAAATCAATCATACCGTTAAATATTCCTTGAAATTGGTTGATTTAAATCCTTGAACAAAAAGACTTTTCAACACGACAATTGATTTGAAACGACGACTCATAATGTGGAAATTTCCCGTAACTTGTTTGACAGGAAACTCTAAATTATTTAATAAATAAAATTATTACTTATCAATTAAATTAAATTTAATTCCTTTTTTCCAAAATAAATAAATACAAAGCGACYTCGTGGATTTTGGCCATTATATATATACGACTAAATCCCAAACAAAATTTTCATACAACCAAAGTTATGGCATCAAAGTTTATGTTACTCGCTCTTCTCGTTAATCTTCTCGTGTTTACAGGTTTTTTTTTCTTCTGAATTCAACTTAACATATTATTATTTAAAAAATGTAGGACTGATTGCAACAATAATGTGATTTTTATGGTCTCAAACAGATATCATTCTGTGTTCAAATTTAGATCTATCAAACTCTGATAACTTGATTTATGTTTATATGTGCRTTCATATTACGRTACATTATTTATGTCACTTCAAAGCAAGTACTTTTGATATTTTAGGAAGGTAATTGTGAAGTTGTAGATATTGATATGTGTGATCATGTGTACACATGCATGCATGTATGTGTGTATGTGTGTATGTGTGTATGTATGTATGTATGTATGTATGTATGTATGTATGTATGTATGTATGTATGTATGTATGTATGTATGTATGTATGTATGTATGTATGTATGTGTGTGAATGTATGTATGTGCACATGGGAATACTTTAGGCTATACCCACAAGCATGGAAATACTYTTTGGCTACATGTATTTGCACCGTTTAAAGTAGATGATAAATTATTGAGRAGAAATTACAAATTGATACGAAAGTTCTAACTTTCGGTGTTTATGGGAAAGATGAAYTGTATTTAAATGATTTTATTCTTATTTGGTGCCAAACAGATGCACAATCGGTAGGCGTGTGCTACGGACGAAATGGTGATGGTTTGCCCTCAGAACCKGACGTGGTAACRCTTTACAAAAACAACGGCATAACCAGGATGCGTATATAYGATCCARATCAAAATACTCTTCAAGCCCTCAAGGGATCCAATATCGAAGTCATGCTCGGTGTTCCTAATGATGCTCTGCAATCCCTCAACGATCAAAATGCTGCAACCACGTGGGTTAGAG